AGTGGGGAAATATTGTACCTGAACCGCTGGATTTTCCTGACAATCTTGGAGAGTGCTTGTGCTAATATAAATCACATACTCTTGGCTTGACTAAGATTCAACAAATGGGAAACAGAAATTATTAATTTTTTTTCAGGAAAGTTGAAGTCCATAATACCTGTTTATATTCTATCTCCGTTTTTTCAGTTAAACTTAAGTGAATCTGAAGTAGCTAGATTTCGTCTAAATCCACACAGCTGAGGAAACCTGTGCTTGCTCTTTCTCTGAATTTTCACTGAGGGGCTTTTATCTCCCCCTAATCCCACCATTTCTGTCAGGACATAATCTCTTTCTCAAATTTACATTTTAATTACAAGGCCAGCTGAACTAGCTAAAATCAATAATGTCAGCATTCAGCAGCCTAACTTCAGCTGAAACCCCAGCCTCTCTCTTTCCTTCTATCGATCTGTCTTGTGAACATGGTCTACTTTATTGCTTCAGGCAAATAGGTGCCATTTGGTCAATTTAAACAAAAAAGGGGATTTAAACATTTTTATGATTCTTTCTCAGAGCTGCTATTGGAACAGTTTGAACCCAGGTACTGTACTTGGTTAAATAAACCACACAGAGCAGCAGAATTCTTAATATGAATTTTACTTTAAAAACTGTACTTAATCTATATCTTAAAACCAAAACAAAGCATCCCCACCCTGACATTGGACACCATTCAGCTGGGGCTTTCTGTGTGGTGACTCTTGTCTTTATCTTGTTTGCAAAAACAAATTTCATACACAAATATTCTTTTAAAACTCCATAATGGAGGTGGTATTACTGATGTTGTAGTGTATTTACTTTTAGCTATTTTTCTGTTAATGGTTTAAAATAAGAAATCAATGAGAAAATATTTTGCTCTTGTAACTCTTAAGAATTCCTATATTGATCTTTTGGATGTGATTTTATCTGTCTAAATGTCACATTGTCCATTTATCTTTCTTGCCTTTTCTGTGTGTTGCTGACTGCTTGTCACTGCTGTTCCCCTCCTCCTCCCCAACAAAATCAGTGTAGTGAACAAGCAATCATGTTTTCTGTAAACAGCACAGGAAACAAATGGAAAAAAAATAGGGGTTTCTGAGATCTTTATTGCATATGCACTTTTAATATACATGCACATTTTTCTCTGAAGATGAGAGAAAAGGTGCTATGTTCTGACACAAACATGCTATCTTCTGACTTTTTACTATTTGTAAATAGTACACATGCTTTAAACAATGCTTTTCAGAAAGTCTCCATTAAAAAAAAAGTAAAAAAAGAAATTTAAAATTCTAAATACAGTCTAAGCAATTCTACATTGCAGATACAGTCTATGATATATTCTTCTCAGTTAACCTTGTTCATGCCAAAGGGCCTGTTTGTTTCTGTCATAAAAGGAAGTTCACTTTTCCAAATACTGATGATACTTAAGTATGGTTATAACACTCTTCTGGGTTAATTCTGCTACACTTTGATACAAAGCACCTGAGAGGGGCTTTTTCCCTTTCCATCCTATGACAAGAGCTGAGAAGGAGCCCTGTCCTGCCCCCTTTTCAAAGGCATAAATTCAAAATTCCTGCATTATTATTTCACTGAAGTGCTGTTTTAAAAGAACATTTTTGTGGAGGCACCATTATCCCTTTTGAAGAACAAGTCTGCAGCCTAATAAGTGTAATGAGATAATTTCTTTTTCTATTTAGCCTAGATATTTCTCTGCTTAGATCCATCCTTTTATATTTAATTATCACTTCCCTTATTCCTGGTTCTTCTGCTAATTTTGAGACTCTTCCCAATGCACAGATCAGTCCTTTAAATTACTTTTTAACAATGTTCTTTAAAGCCTTGTTGACTTCAGAGAGGAAGTTGGATAACATGGTGAAAGTAGTGTGTTCACAGCTTTCACAGGAGTGTGTGGAGTGGGCAGGAGTGAGTAAGGGAGTAGTAGTGTCAGGGGTGCTCAGCAGCATCACCAGCCAACAGCAGGGTGGGCTGTGGCTGCCAACAGCTGGGAGGCAGGGTCTAACCTCCAGTCTGAGGACATAAAAATTAGAAAGGGGTGATCCCTCTTAGTATCGCGGTTCATGCTAACTTCAGTTCCCAGGAACCACTGGACAGCTTGAGCAGCACTGTCTTTGAAGATGCACTGCCTTAGGAATCCAGCTTTGGTTTTGGAGTGTTTTCCAGAGAGCAGAACAAGAAGTTGGGGAAAAGCTGGGTTTGACACTGGCTTCAGACTGCAGTGAATGTCCTTCTGTCCCTCTGCAATCCTTCCTGCCTGTGAATGTTCAGACTGCTGGGTACTTGCTGAAGTCTTTCTGGGACAGCTGCCAGACTGGTGCTACTGAAATACCCACTCTCAGATGTGTGTTCACCCCTGTGGGGTATCTACATGATACTCCAGTAGCCTTTTCTTAGGAGAGGTGGAATGCATCAGCCTGCCAGAGCTGGCTCTGGTCTCTTTATGGACATGGGAAAACACTATCACACCCACATTGCATCTTGTATACTTACTTCAGCCATCTTTCTCTGTGTCATGCACTGGGTAAGCAGAAGGAATGTATTGAGCTGTCATGGGAGAGAAAGTAGAAAGCAGAGAAGTCTCTGTGAGAGCTTGTTAACTGCTGTTGGCTAGTAGTCTCATCCTCTTTCCTTCTCCAGATCCTATTTCCTTCCCTCATTGTTTTGAAGGAGACAGGTAAGCCATCTGCTGCCATGGTCATTACTGCTCTTGCCCTTAAAACGTTTCCCTTCATTGTTACCAGTAGAAGCCATACTAGAGAGAGACTTGTGATCTCAGATGGTCTGAGAAGAGTCCTCGTCCTTGAGAGTATTCAGGGGTGCTCACTTTTTTTCTGGAGGTAGTTGTATTCAGAAAATCTGGGAATTAAGTGACCATTTGCTATATGCAACAAAATTTAAAGGCTACACATGCATACAAGCCAGATTTAACTGGATGTTTACTTTTGTTTCTTCTCTCCTTCTGAAAGGCTCCAGTTCTCTGGATTTTGAATTAGGATTGTCAGCTCTCTCTGGGGAGAGTATATCTAGGAACTTGGTTAAACAGGAGGCTGACAGGGCATCTTTCTCAGTGCCTTGAGTTTGGAGCTTTGGAAAACAAAGACGAGATGTCATTTCCTGCACAAGGACTTAGTTCCTGATCTTGGTGCTTGGAAAATGTAGACCCATATGTATCCAGGGGGTGGATCTTGATGGTTGATGCCTCAGCACCTTGACCTGTGACTTGAGTCAGCAATGCCATGGGTTGCATTCCATAGGCTAAAGGGAATGAGTGGTGCAAATGAATCAAGGTCAGAATGAATTACTGAAACACTTTAAAAGGTGGAAAGAGGGGTCAGGGTAAATATATCTGATTTTGTTTGTGAAAAATATGTTTTCCTCTGAAATGAAAATATTTTGTGTACCAAAGCCACCTGCCACTGTGGGTCTTGCAATTTCCCTGCTCAGAGGGCAGGTCTTAGATATCACATTAGCGTTTCCTTTTCTACTTGATGTCTTGTGATACATTTAATGACTAGCAAAACAAGAATACTTCTGGTTGCAGCTTCAAGACTGGCTAGAATTGGGCAAGAGACTAAAAGTGACATATAATGGCTAAAATATGTTAGTTAAACTTTGGTTGCTTTTCATAAGAAGACTGAGATCATTTGCTAAAAACTTTAGTTTTGTGAAACCATGACCTTCTTGTATTAATTTAGAGGGTTTTTTTTTTTTGAGGGATGAGACCTTGCATTTCAATAAATTATTTTATAAGAAGGCTTTCTGAGGAGACAAATACAGTCTGTTACATTAGTGTGAGGGATCTCATTTTTACAGTTTTAGCTGTCGTTGGCTGAAAAGTTCTTGTTTCCACTCCTGACTAATAGAACTGCTTCTCTAGCTCAGCAGGTAGAGGCAAGTGCTGTCTTACAGCCCGTGCTGACTCTCTAATCTGGCTGTACAAAGTAATTAAGTTGCCCTACAGTAATTAAGCTGCTGGTGCTGAACATCAGTGCCTGGTGCTGCCCTGCAGAGGGGCTTGTTCCTCAGGTGTAGCTCAGGCCTTTGCTGTCTGTGGAGCACACTCTGGGGGGGGGTACTTGCTGCTCCTGCCAGCACTTGGATGTTTCCTCTTGGCAAATTGTGTGGTTTAGTATCTGTGAAAAAAGAATGTTCTCTGGATAATTCCGTTTGCGGTTATATTTAAGAATTAAAACTCAACTCAGTGGTGCTGCCCCTTAACAAATCAGGAAGAAGAAGAGGCTGTTTTGTTTTACATTCTCAATATGGTAACTGAGATTCATCAAAGAGCAGAGGTGTGCCTCACACGTGCTTTGTTTTTTTCATTGGATGTGCTTCCCAGCCAGCTGTTCTGGCTGATGATGGTTCCCCTTCTTATCAGTCCTGTGTTGCAGTGAATCCCCATCCAGATGTGGCTTCTCCTTGCCAGGATGAACAGTTTCAGCAGGATTTTTTGCTGAGACACCACAAAGAATTAATCTTAGCAGACAGGAGGATATGGATGTGTGGCTTTTTTTTTTTTGCTTTCTCCTACTCTTAGATGTCTTTGGGGGCTCTAGGTATTAAACAGTAGTGCCAGTAGTTCCTTTTTCCTATTTTACCCTAATATAACCCTGAGTACAGAAATGATGTACCAGCAAGCAGTTGTGACACTGGAAACTTATATACAAAAAGCAGTATTGCAGTTTGGGCAAACATGTATTGTAAAATCCTTCTCTCCAAGGTGAACGAAGTAACATCATTCTTTGTTGTCACATCATGTCATACAAATTTAAAACTTGATTTGCTGTAGTTACTCAGTATATATCTGTTCCAAAATGAGAAAAATTTCACAGGCATAAATATCACAGAGTGGGATTGATGTCCAGTGCAAACTGAAGGCTGTAAGACATGTAATCAGCACCCTGGGCTGCTTGGTCCCACTGTGAGGGTGTGAGAAGTGAGTCACTCCTAAACATCAATTTTTTTTGCAGGGCTAGAACCCCAGGCAGCTCCAAAAGCTCCGGTGGGGAAGGTGTCAGCAGGACCAGCTCCACTGAGCTCCCGCGCGCAGCCGAAAGGGAACGAAGATGAACTTGATCCAACCTGTGCAGCTGCCACACTGAAACTCATTAGAGACAAACTGCCAAAGTTACCACCTCCTCACACCAGGTTAGCTTTCTTTTAATTCTTGTAGAATCCTCTCGCTCTTGTGTTTATTAGTCACGACAGCACACAGAAAAGCATTCATGAACTAGGCCAGCTGCTAAGGCTGTCTTGGTTTCAGTTTGAAGTAACATTCATTGCTTAATATTTGGGATTTTGCTGATGATTGCACCAGGATCTTAAGGAATCTTTTACTTCCTGATTAATTTACTTTTATTTGGTGTAAATGGCCTTTATGAAAATATACTGTTCCCTTCTTTGCTAACAAAAAATCATATCCCTATTTATTCAGGTGTTTTTTTGTTTGCAGCCAAACAGAACATATCCTAATACTATATTAGCAACTAGTTGCAGCCATCTCTTGGTTCCCCAATAACTTTAGCTGTCAGTGCTACCTGGAGGTGTTTTACAGTTGTTCATATTTGTTGTCAATCCTGTTCAAATTTTGGTAGACCTCCAGCCTTGCCTACATTTATCTGGGATTTGGGATAAAACTGGGAGTCACCTATTTAATGGCATTTCCTGGAAAGACACTTCTGCATTGGCCAGGAAAGCACCCAAAACCTAGCAAACTGGAATGTAATCTGAGAAAGGGGCTTGCTTCATTAGAACTCCAGAGTTTGGAGTATTCAGGTGTACATTATGACTTTTAATCTTTAAAAATTTAGTGTTTCGGTACGGTGACTAAGACTGTGAAGCTCTGTCAGTAAGAATAATGAATTCTGTAGTGGTATTGCATGATGAGTATATTACAAGGTGGAGTTTTGTCAACAAAACAAAGACTTTGCAATCTATGTCACTGCCATGCAAACATGGGCATGAATTTACCATAGTAAGTTCTTTATAAAAATGATTTCCAGTACCACATCTGTAGCTCCTGCCTAGATCTAAGGTAATATTAGTGTTGGTCATCTGAAAAATCTAATGAAAACAAAGAAAAAGTTGTTGTGATCATTGCTGTTTTCTGTGTTGACTTTTCATCAATTTTCTCCAGTGAATCTGCAGCTCCTGAGGCAGCAGCCTTGGAAGATCCTGACGGTAAGAGAAGAAAACTAGAGGAAGAAAGAGCTAAAGCTCCTCTCATGCCTTTTGGATTAGATCTTCACTACTGGGGAGAGGATCAGCCAAGTGCTGGGAAGATTCTCAAGTAATGCTCTTTTTCTTTTAAGACAAATTAAACAAATAAATAGATTTACTTGTACTCAGAGGTCATGCAGTGGGGTGACTGCTATTTCTTTTGATAATTACTTTTCTCCTTTCCCTTGTGTTGTAGGACCCATAAACAAAGTCAGAAATTCTACCTCTAAATGTTATTTGTTTTGAGAAGATGTGATACTAATTAAATATCCTTTGATGCTTCAAAGCACACTTTTTTTTCTGCTCTTTTCATGTGTGCAGCATGGAATCAGTTACTCCAATTTAAGTTGGCACCTCATTATGCAAAGTGCTCTGCCCAAGTGCGTGATAGACATTCCCTCAGCTGGAGACTTTGCTGTCTAAATAAGTAGCAGGGAAGGCAGGAGAAACTCTGGGGAGGTGTCAGGGGTATTTTTCCTGACTTTACAGAGTGGTAGCTGAGGAAATTGATATGCTTATTCAGTCTCACAAGAAAAAGGTGGCAGTTACAGGATTTGAATTCGGATCTTTCACTTGCCATTCTTGTCTGGGAAGGTTTTGTGTTTCACGAGTCAGTGCTGACTTAGGGAAAGCTTGAGCAGTGCTGGGGAGAAGAGCTGGTAGGTATCCATCCGAACTTCTTTCTAGGAGTCAGTTATAAACCCCTTTTAGTATTTTTAAATGAAAGTTGGGATGCAAACTCTTCCCTTTATGTATAAGTTTCCTCTAAGTCCACCAGAACTTTACTAGCAGTGTGTACCAAACCTGGCTTGAAAAAGTCCAAAATCATTGACTGGCTGGGTTGCAAATGAAGCTCTTATATTCTTAGCAGTATCACTGTAACTTAGTTTGTTTTCTTACCAAAACAAATCGAGAAAACCAACCCATGATCACAGAGTTAAAATAGTGTTGGCAGAACAGAACAAAGGGAAATCTGCCCCTGTACCAGACTGCATAAAATGCTGAGTATCCTTTAAATTAGTGAAAACTGGTGCACTTGGATAGATAACAGTGCTCTGCCACAGTCACTCCAAGCTTTGGGTTCCATCTCATGTGGTGTAGGCTCTTCAAAACCTGTAAAATGGTTAAGATTTTCAGCAGGGCTTTAAGAAGCATTTGTCTGTGATAATGCCAAAAAGGAAGTAAAGCCTTATTTTACATTGCAGATGAGTTACTCAAGTCATAAGTGAAATCAGAAACATATTTCACTGCCTGTCTGGTTTGTGCTGTACTGTTTTATTTTTATGCTTCCCAATAAAATAGAGGGCACACTTCTGAGCCTTATAGTCTATAACTACAGATATGCCAATCTAACTAAAGATAATTTAAGTAACTGCACACACAATACCATTGACCCCGGGTATAAAATATATTCATTGAGAAATTAAGGTAGTTATTGGCCAACTCCCTTACCTTTTCTATATGCACACATACTGGCTCTATAAGATGCTTAGGGAAAAAAAGCAAATTGGAAAACAGGCAACACATATGGGATGTGTATGGAATTTGAATTTTTTAAATTTGAAGAGGAAAAGTCTTTCCACTTCACTTCCTTAGTAGTATACTTACTTAGTCATAGCATTTACAATAAATTAAGATTTTGATAGTGAGAATGTAGCTACCAGGAAGATGATTTTCTAAAGAAGTTTTGTTTAGAAAGTGACAGTAACTGTGAGCTTGACAAAAGTTTGGGCTGAACAATTTTCCCTACTTCTGCCTTCACTCACACAACTCATTAAACTAGTTTAAGAACTCTTAAAATGAGCTTATGAAACTGTAGTAGTACTTTTTTTTTTTTTTTTTGGAGGGGTGGGTATTGTATACAGCACAGTGTTGTACTGTGTAGAGTCTGCTGTCAGCAGATTGTTTTGGATAGCATGGACCTTCTAAATTCATCTACCCTCCTCCTTGAATTAAATCAGCTTACTCTTGAGAGCAGAGTAGGATAGTTGGTGCAGCACTGACTCTGGCTAGGCTGTTTGAATTAGCCCATTTTGCACTTGCTTCAGGATCTCTGTAAGCATCTGGTTTTAGAGGTTACATCTATTCAATTTTTTTATAAGTTTCCCATCATTTTAGGACTTAATATGTTCATAAATTTGGTGAAAGAATGCAACATTTCTCCAGTAGCTTGTCTTTCTTTTAGATTTTTGTTAACCATTATTTGTCTTGTATTCTTCCTCATGTATTAAAGCCTCTATTATTTGGATCAGGAACACTCTATAAGTGGGAGTGAGGTGATCTTTTTTATCTTTTGACTGATTATCTGTTCCCCTTCTGATTCATCTTACAAATGTTTTACTTGTCACATGCATAATTTTTTCAAACAATTAAAATTGTTTTTTAAAATGTTGCTTAACTTACAACAAGAAATCGGAAAACTTTGGGAATTACCACTGCGTTTTTCTTCTCTCACCTGCTTGTAAATCATGTTGGGAGAAAGTAAGTTATATGCTTGTAGGAAACAATAGTATTTATTAATATCTGTGTAGGACTTAGGCTATTTTAAGTCCAGTCCCCAAATACTGATCAATGATACATAGAGTAAAACATAATTTTAATGTTTTTTTACATTTGTTGGATGCATATTTAAGGGAAGTGAGACAGAAAAATTATTAAATAGAACTGTTTCCTGATTGGAAAGGTTGGTATGCACAACTGTTAAATGCTTCTTGATTCTCATGTAACTGTAATTTGATAATTTAGAGGGGGAAGGGAGTTCAGACCACCAGAGGACACTAGAATTTTACAGAGTTTCTGTAAGACTACCATGCACGTAAAAATCCTGCATGGTGTCTTTTTAGGAATGCTGTCCCCTCTGTGTGGCTGCAGAGTTAGTAACACAGAGCTAGCAGTCAGTCTTGTTTTCAGCACTGCATTAAACTAAGCAAATAATAAATTTATTTCATTCTTCTGTTCATTGTCTTGCCATATAATTCCTGAAGCTAAAATACTGTACCATTCAAATGTTAGACTAAAGTCATACTGATATATTAGAAAGACTCTTAGGGTTTGGGGGTTTTTTGTGTATGCTATAGTTTGCAGAAATGTGTAATTGAAAACTTTTTGTATAACCAAAAATTGTGGAAACATATTATTATGTTTAATGCCGAACTAAGGTCCTCTGGAACTCTTTTGCCTTTATGTCCTAATTTACCAGAAGGAAGTTATTTGTACTTTATACAGGTTGGTATTTATCTGGAACTAATGAGGTGTATCAGTGCAGAACTTACTGGATAGAATCAGTCTGTTTAATAAGGATTCTACTTGTTGAACGTTTTTCTGATGACTTGGCAAATCATGAAGATACTTCAAAATTTGCTTAATCCCTTTTTTAACCTAGTTCTAATCTCTTTACATAGTTTTAAATGGTCAGCTGTTGCAGTAAAACCAGCACCTGTATATATTATAGGTTGCTAAGGTCAGGTATTTTCCTCTTCTTTTTTTTTTTTTTTCCCCTTGTTATCTGCTGAAAACTTGCTTAGATAAAATTCATCAAAACTCTTCAGGCTCTCTAAAGTAATTCTTTCAATTGCTGGCTTATGTGCTTTGCTGAATTGAGATTGGTGTGACTAGTGAAGCCAGTGATCACGGATGTATGGCTCTGTGGTCCACAGAAGGCAAAGTCTCAGAAGTAGGAATGACATCCAAGGATATGCATGATTGAGAGGAATTGGATGTGGATAGAGAAAATCCTCTCAAATAAGTCTGGAACTGATTGGGTGGAAGAGCTGTGTAGAAGAAAGGGATTGCGAAGTGTCCTTTGTGAATTTTATGTCCTTATTGAGACATTTATCATTTGGTATCTCCATTTTGCTTGTAATAAGCAGCAGACATGGAGGCTGGATTTTTTTTTCCCCTTAGTTTAGCTGTATTTTTTTCCTCTTCAGATTCATATTTCCTTAAAGTTTGGGTGAGATTATTGTTGTTTAACATCAGATATCTTAAAATTAGATACCTAAACTTAAGCTGGTCACGCTAATTTCTTTCCATGATTAGGAGAAAAGAAACATTTACCATCAGAGAGACAATCATTGCCTTCTAAGATTAGCATCTAAAATGAGTCAGGTAATTGCCCTCTGCGCTTGCCTGTTTCTCATTACAGACTATTGGCAGCTTAGGGTGGCTAAAATGAAATTATACGAATGCTGTTGAGAAAATTTGGAAATACTGCATCACCCAAGGGTCCTCGCTGCCCTCCCCTCCCACTCTCTATGTCCACTGACATGGCACCGATCTTCTCTGTTTGTTTGCCTATATGTGTCTGTAAATACAGGTGAGGTGCCTAATTTTAAAATAGATTTTCAATGGATTAGCTGAATTTCCTAGAAGAACACCTGCTAATTTTTCAGACTTACAGGCCCTGTAAAGGAGAACCTGGAGGAAAGACTGTATAAAGCTCAGCCGATTGTTTGCTCTTTCCCTTGATCTCAGTGTATTGCAACATATTCTGATTTCAGCTTCTGCTTCTCTGCTGCTGCAGGAGTACAGTTAAGATCAAGCTGTTTCCTCCTTGATCTGTCTTGTGTTTAATCATAGAAGTATTTTGTTATGAAGAATGTTAACTACAGAATTACAAAGTTATTCACTGAATCCTATATCGGATAACTGACTCTAGATGTCTGATCATGAACTAAAGCCAAGTACTTGTAATAGCTTAGCAGGTTAAGCAGGAAATCAATACTGGAGAGACTTTGGTGATATTTTGAAAGCATCTTCATAATATAGGAGTCATAAGAAAGACTGGTAGAGTCGTAGAGGTTTTTTAAATTCACTAATAAAGCTTCCCTTCCTTTCACATGTGAGTTCAGCACAGGTTGATACTGGTGTCTTTATGTGCTTTCTTACAACTTTGTGGGTAATTTTCATTTGTTGTTTTCCCAGATTTACATCTGAGCATCGATTTTGGGCACCCAGTGAAGTAGAGGAAGAGGTGGAAAATAAAGAAATAACGGAAATGTTAAAAACTAGATATATAACATTCGCTGGCAAGTTCGAGCCAGTGAAACATAAGTGTCGGGCACCAATGCCCGATGGGAGTCTGTGTGAAAGGCAAGATCGAGTTAAGGTAGGCATCAAGTTACATAACTTCCAAGATCTGTGCTATCTGAAGGAGATCTCCCTAAAACATACACATAAAAGTTTATTTCACATTGTAAATACAGCTCAAGGGAGTGGAAGAACTCTGTGTCTGGAGAAGTTCATTGTTAATATTTGCTTCATGTGGGAAACAGCCTTTTGGTAAAGAAGCTGTAAACATTTAAAGAACTCTTAAATGTTTTTGGCATTCATTATAGGTTATTTGTATTTTGTTTATTACTGTGATGTATATACTGTGATGCCTTACCTGGCAGTAAGGCAGAAATAGGTATTTTTTTCTGAAAATTTTTCCTTATTTAGGGGCATATTTGATATTAACTGGTTTTAGAAACTTATGTGTTTGAGGGGCAAAGAAGTTGTATTTACAAACTGGGTTTTATGAAAGCTAAATTCTACACATCCTCAAAATTATGAGTTTTGTTGAGCAGAACTAGTTTGCTTAAATACTTCTAGTATCCCTGTTTTTCCTGTATTATCTGAGATTGAAGGATCTGAATGCACGGAAATAATTTAATGGGATTAGTAAACGATGCAGCATTGGTGCCCTAGTTCCAGACTTAACAAAATGTGCTACCTGGTCTCTTGAAATAGGATATTTGTATCAAACAGACCTAATTTCTTTAAGATTCTGAACATATTAAACACATGATGTTTATGGGATTCTAATGTTTTCTAAGGGGGACTGGGAATCACGTGTAGTTTTGTCGCTCAATTCCAGTGTCCGGCTTTAAGTTGTGTTGAATGAAATGTAAGCATTTTCTTTTCATTCAAAAGTTTCATGGGTTTTATTTTTTTCCTCTTTCTTTCTCAAGTGCCCTTTCCATGGAAAGATAATTCCTCGGGATGACTCTGGGATTCCTGTGAACGCAGAGGACAGAGCCAGAGAAGAAAAGATGAGGTTTGAGAAGCAAGCAGCCCAGCCAGGTCTGTGTCTGCATAGCATCTTAAAAAAAAATTAAAATTAAAAAAAGTATTAGGCAGAGGTGGGAGATACCTGTTGCCTCTTTCACTCTTAACCACATTCTCCCATTTACATTCCAGGTGATTTTAATTTGCAGCTCATTTGCTCATATGATGAACATGGGCACATGTGTACACAGAATAAGGTTAACATTGCATTTGTGCTTTATTTCCAGTAGTTACTGCAATGTTCCCAACACTGCTCAGATAGAGGAGTTATAGCCTTTGTCTTAAAGGAACATGTTCATCAAGGATGATTAAACCTATTCCCTGGGAGATGCTTGACAGTAACTGTTCCATGCTTCTGAAGTCATCTAATGTTGCTGGTACCTAGCAGTGGTGATTTATGCAATATAATGATGATATTATTGGGATCGTTGTGTTCCCACGAATACTGGGAGAGGATATGTTTTGTCACAATGTGAGAACTTGTTTTTCCTGTATCTGTTCATATCTCTCATAGTCTATATTTCCCATATCTACAGACTTACTATTTGTGTTTTAGAAGGAGAATTTTTGGCCTTGTTATGCTGTGCGTCTGTGCAGCATTGCTAGAAAATCCTCTGAGCTAGAGAAGTGCTCACCTTGGGCTTTACTTTATTGGCATAATAACTAATCTGCAAGTTCTAGTAGGGATGTTTGTGATGGGCTTGAGGAAGGCAGCAAGCAGAGCTTTGCTGTCTAATTGTTTACATGTTACTGTGCAATACTCTGGATTTTGATTTTAGGCAATTGTGGATGGGCAACAAAATTAATGGCCTTCTCCTTGCATCTTGGCTACAGCTTTCAGGTGTAGAGGGGAAGGCTTATCCTTCCCCAAGGTTATTATTTGAGCATTTTTAGGCAGAGTGCAGCTCTGGACTGCTAGGTAAGGAGTGCAGGGAATGAGAAGAACAGCAGGCAATGAGTACCTGGGCAGGAGGACTTCCAGGGGGAATAAGAGACTTCGTTGCAATAGTACAACTAAACCTCATTAATGATAGACAGAAGATACCTGGGGGACTGCAACGAGGAAGGCACTGGAAGTTGATAGACTGCAAAGGAAGACAGGAGAGAGGGATGTGTCCAGCAAAGACATAGCGTATAATTGGAGGGGACAGATTTGTTTTCAAAGCTTTTCTTTAATCTTCCTTCTTCCAGCAGGACTTACTTTTCTCTGTTTTAAACTATTTATTCTAGGTAAGTATTCTGCATTCTAATTAAACTCACCCATGGGCATTTGCATTTTGATTTCTTATAGAATACTCCCTTGAAGGAGTTAGTTCTCACTTAAGGTCTGACTGACTCAGTGTTTCAGAGTTAGACATATTATTAACGAAGCTACTGAACCTTCAATAAAACCTCTTCTGATCTGTATTCACAAAGGTCCATGTCGAATTAATGTGCATTTAAACACACAACTGACCCACCCAGGGTCCTTTGGTACTGATTTGGCCATCTTTGAGTGACTGTGCTTGGCCATTAGAGCACCACACCAGTGCAGCAGTTACTGAACACCACCTGGTATTTGCAGGTGTCAAAGTGCTACTTTTCCGGGTGGTTTCCATCCCTGTCCAGGTGGAGTAAGTGTTTTAAACTGGCATCCAGCCAACAGCATGGACACTGTTGGATTGTCACAGCGAAACCAGGGCAGGAATGTGGGTGTTGTGTTGAAGAAAGTTCCCAGCTTGGTTATGACGAACTAAAACTAGCAAGTTAAACTAGTAGGTGTAGTTGAAATCTTGAACTAGAAATTAATACTCTGGTATAAAAATCACTTGCACTGAAAAATATTGATTCTTTTTTTCCCTGTGAAATTGCCATTGCTTGAGGCTAGACACAGTATTTATTTTTATTACAGTGTCAGCTCGGTGTTGTTAGAGGCTTCTCACCTCTGGCCCACAAGGATGTGTATGTTAGTCCCAAACCAGTGTTGGCATTGCATTATTGAGTGTGGTTGTTAAGCTGAGGTGTCACACAAAGGTCCATCCCATCTGGCTGGGGAAATACTGCACAAGCTGTGGCACTTAATCTACTGGACAAAACCTTCCAGATTTCTAAAGCCATACATATACCAGATGTCACTAAATACTTTTATCCACTGCTTTTTGTTGCTTTCTTTTTTCCTGTGCCTTGCTGGTTTTATATTTGCTTTATAATATTTTCATCAACCTTTGAAAATGGTTTTTTGTTTGTTCGAGGCTTGTGGTTTAGAGGGGTGTGTTTGGTTGGTTTGCACTGATGTTTGGATTTTGAGGGTTTTTTTGTTAGGAAGATCTTGGAGCAAGTCTGAGCAGTGTTGCTATGGAAAATATGCAAGTGGAAACCCACTGTACAGGGAGTACTTTGGTCTTATGATTGACAACAACATTTAATAATGATGACAGTTTGAAAAATGTTGAAAAAAAAATTTGGGGATCAACTGTGGGGTTAAATTGCACCAAAATTCTTCCTGTATCTCCTTCCTGCTGGATGGTAGGTTTATTTTTATCTTTATGTGATTAAAAGGGGGAAACAGTTATATAAAAGTAATACAGTTTGTGTGATAATGACTGTGTTTTGGCAGCACTGTCACTGTTATTATGGAGCATTTTTTTAATCTTAGTATAAAATTTGAAATTCTAGCTAATGTCCACAAAATGGTGCTTTGGGCTCTCCAGTCCTGAAACAGTGAATCAGGTGGGATTACGCTGACCCGCTAATCTGCAGCGTTCATCCTTTTCCAATAGTTCGCACACAGGAGCAAATTAAGTGCCTATTTTTTGTGTCAACCCTGAAGAGTATCTGGTTTTTCAGCCCTTAGTGACTTGTTAACAAACAGGTATCAGGACAGGCTGGTGCAGGCAGGCCGCTGGCCACTCAGATGTGAAATAGCATCTCTTTACTAACTACAGTATTGATTCCCGCCTACCCTTGCAAACTGTGTAATTTTCTTTTCCCTGCTGCTAAACTCAGTAACAATGTATGAAGAGCTTTAGGGGCCCATCAATGCTCAAAAAGCCTGCTCTTCCCTGGCATTCTATTGATTTTTCTCAAAAGCTTTTAAATTGCTCCTTCATTTTACTCAAATGCTCATTTCATCTCTACTGGATGCCGGCATTTTTTCGTTGTGTTTAAACAATTGCTCCATTCATGGGGTTCCTAAACTGTGACGCCTTCTTATTACTGGGAGATAAACTGTTTAGACAGTTTTCCTTAATCTTGGATTAATCGTTCCTGTATCTGAATTGTGCTGTTCTGTATTCCTTCACTTCAAAAAAAAAAAAAGTCTGTGAGGTCTTATGATCTATCAAGTTTATGTGTTCCATTTTCTCCCTTTTTACCTCTTCTGCTCAGCTCTTGAACAGCTTCGTTTTCCTCCTGCTTTTTGGTCTGTTGGATTTTAATCAGTCCTTGCTTTCATGTATGATAGTAGGTTAAATCTAACTTTTCCTTGGAAAATTGCTCTGGTATTCCTTAACACCATGTTCTTAAGTGAGAACATTGCCTCTGACCTTCCTGAAATGTTGTTACTGGTATTTGTCACACTCAGGGACCATGTTGGTGTATAAAAGAAATTGTATAGTCCTTTAGGACTGTTTATTTTTCTATATCTACAAAGATGCTAAGTAAGAGTAGTAGACTTTTTGCCTTACAATTTCTGAAGGCTGACAAACATGCAGGAAACTGTGATGAATGACTGACAAGTCCTGTTGTTAAAATACAGATTATGCTGAGTTTGGAGCATGTTCTCTTTGAAGTGGTACTTCCTACATTTTTTTTCAACCTCAAAATCTTTATAATTCAATGCAATTTTCCTGAATTTCCCCCTTGCAGGTGTCCATCCTGCAGCCACATTTTTACTTTGTACTCTGTTACCTTGTTCTGGTACACAAGACTCCACTAAAGGTGGAAGACCACGGCTTCCTCAAAGAGTTTCCAGTCTAAATTGTTCATGCTTTTTCCCATGGTGGCATCTAGGATCAGAATCCATTTACAGTGTATGGCTGGATCCTGAAGCATTAAGGTTTTGATAAAACTGTAAAAAAAGGGTTTTGATTAGATAAATTAACTTGTGCCATTGTCAAGAGAAGAAACTTGATTTAGATAATTAAACTGAGGAAATGTGGGATGCTTAGAAAGTAGTATCTTTTTTAGATGCAAAATGTGGCCCATGGAAACAGGACTGTTTTGTCCTATTCAAGAATTTTATTCCAGTTCATGCTTTAAAGCAAATATTATTAATGCAAAAAAGTCCCAATGTTGTCACCCGTACTCTGCTCAAAAGTTGACATATTTAATTTTTGTTAGGTTTATTTTTAGGCTTATTCAGAATTTATTTCTGAAGATAAGTTCCTCGGCTACATTTTTGGCATTTTCAATTTCTAAATAATAATCACTCTGTTTATGTCACCTCTCCTACATGGAATATTTTCCTTGGAATTTTGCTAGTATACAACTGCTAAAACTTGACTGAAGTTTTCCTACTGAACAGTTTAACCCACGGCAGCCAATAATAGGTACTCACCCCAGACTGGCAGGGCTTTTTCATCAAGGTCTGTCATTTTGGCCAGCTGCTTTATCCTCCCCTTCCCTTGTGTGTGCAGCTTAGAGCACAGTGAGTCTGCCCTTGTCCAGTGGTGACAAGAACCTGTTCCTTAGGAACTGCAAATCCTCCCTGGGTTTGGAGTTTCAAAGTCCATACTTTGTCTTTTAAACAGAGTGGAGGGATCCAGAATTCATGAGAGAAGTTGAAGCTGCTACAGGACTGGATCTTGGTTCCTCTAAAAATAATGGGAAAGGACAGAAGAAGCAAGGGAAGAAGAAAAAATATCCGAATCTGACAGACCTGAAGCAACAGGCAAACACTTCCCGTTCCCGGCTTGAGAAGAAAGTCTTCAATAAGTAAGATGCTCATGTTAAATTACTGTTTCTGTTTTGTTTCAACAGTATTTTCTGTTTCTACATTAACATGCACTTACTAAACAGCTTTCTTGGCTGACTGCAGAGCAGGAATGTCTTCCATACGTCTGAAGGATAAAGAATAGCAGGTACTGATGACTAAGAGAGAAACCATTTCTTTGAGAATGGTTTTCAACTCATTTACAAAATTTTCCTATGGAAGACTTTTTTCACCCTTTCTCAATTTTTTTTAAATCCTTTAATTGCTGGGTTGGCTGCTCTGGATGATCATTTATTAATCAAATGGATGATACTTTATGTGTGCAAACAGTACCGGAGCTGGAAAGATGATGATGTGTTCTGAGTGACACACCTTACAGCATCAGATGTGCTGTAGTGGTGTAGGTGGAGGGAAAATGAAGTTTGTCATTTTGAAAGCCTAAAATGGACTGTCCTGAGCAGAACTTCAGTTAATAAAAGAATCCATCAAAACCCCTTGGCTTTTGGTGTGTAGCAGTGCCTTGGCTGTTGCCCTCGAGCCTCTGGTGTGTACTCAGAGACCTTCCCAAACTCTTGACTACTGCTGGGCTTCCTTTCTCCCACTCCTGGCTATACTGAAGGGCTAGCTGGGCCTCATGCAGAACCCTCCAGTCCAATAGGGACACACAGGGATCCCTTCCTGTGTGTTATTCAGTGTCACACTGCCATTGCACTTTCCTCCTCCCTTACTGAGAATGTGCATTCAACTGTTTAAGAAAAATATTCAGATCCTCGTTCTCTTAACCCCTGCTGTCTTCTGTAAGTATCAAGGGCTGGAACTTGCAGTTCTCTTTGCTGTGTAAGAGTTTGGGGATGATTATTCCCTGTACCATAGACATGTGGTCACAGTATTGTTCCCTCCATGGTGCTGTTTCTGTCCATGGCCCTTTCCTCCCAGCACATGTGCAAACAGCAGCTCTTGGCCTGCATTTAGCTTCAGAAGAAACTGTTTGTGTGGGGTTGGCATTCAACATATTGAACCAACGTGTGTCCATGACTTACACAGGCATAGATGAGTTAACTTTGATTAACCTTAAAGCAGGCACACCAGCTCAGGTGGATGTGGGAGCCAACCAACCATCACTGAATGGGCTTTGGAACATACAGTAGCTCCATGTGTCCACTCTGTTATGCCATTTCTGATGTCTGTTCTTCCTCAGATGTGGCTGCAACATAAATTTACCTAAGCAAGCGCTGGTCTTCATCAAATGGGAAGCAGCTGCAACTTTTTAAAGAGTTTCACATGTCAAAAATGAAGTAGTCAAAGGATAGTGAAAAGTTGTCAAATCAAAAAAGCAAAATTATTATTATAAAATCATTAGTGGTGGGTAATTCCCTAAACATACTGGGTGAGTTCAACAGTGTCCAAGGCACAATATTTTTTAAAACTCTTTATTTTCCCTTTTCTGATGTAATGGTTATAATAACAGAGCCAAATCCACGTTGCTTTTAGTTACAGAAATACCACATTTTCTGTGAAATTCTCATGTCACTTGGTCTTAGTTAGAACTCAGAGACCTACAATTCTAATGATCAGAATTCCATGTCATGGTTTACTGTGGTTTGTGCTAATGATTTTGAGTGTGTGTTAGTGCCAGGCATAGGGAATCAAACCTGTCATGTTTTTAATAGGTTTCATGCTTTGGAGCACTAAACAAGATGATAACCTTGGCTCCTTATAACAACCCCAAATTACTTGAAATGTATAGGTGATAAACCCAGGCTCTGGTCTGCCAATAAAGCTAAGTGAAACTGCACAGATCATCAAAGTGGGATCTCCTTTCATTTACAGTATCGCACAATCCAGTGGTGCTAATGTAAAACCTACATGACATGAAAGTGTCAAGGCCACTCTGCACTGCTAAAGGCTCACTTTTCTCCTACCAATTAGGTAATATTTGAAGTGCAAAACCATGACCACATTTTCCTTACTCTGGTAACTTTAATTGGCAGAATTTTGTTAAAAGTATAACTCTCCTGAGGTGTTTTTTCAGAATGTTGGTTTTCATTGCAGTTGCTGCTGAGAAAATCTTTAATCCCACCATTTAGAGCATTATTAAGAAGAAACCTCTGTTTTCAGATGTTTCAAAATGGCTTTTGAAATGAAGCCGTTACAGAGAGCAGTTGGCCAAAACTGAAATCACCTTCTTTTGGAGATAACCATAGGAGCAGAGCTGGAATAGCCTGGAGGGCCTGATCCTGAAAAAGGCTGGGGCACACTACCAGGTGCACATCTTGTCTTCATTTTACTGCACAGCTTGTCATGTCCTCAGAAGTGATAAAGGCAGACTGTGACACCATAGTCTGACACCACTGGACCTGAGACCATCCACTTTGTGTGATGGAAGTTGCCAGCTGCATTTCTGGTGTAGGAATCAAAGGAGACATCAGTCCCTGCCATGTTCTTCAATGGGACAGAGTCCCTCAAACCAAGCCCGTGGCTGCTCTACCTCCCATGTTGGCAGAGCATCCAGGTCTTTACCTGGAGATGTGTTAGGAGATAACTTCCTTCATAAACAGGGGCAGGGTGACATCTGAGCACACCTGCAAATATCAGCCTCAGATCGCTGAGCTTTTGTTCCAGAGGCAACAAAAGTCATCAGTAAAAAGAATCCAGGCAAGAACAAGGCAAGGTGCACTCAGCTGTGCACAACAGTGCTGAGTTTCTGAGGGGGCAGATGTTCACAGCAGAGCATTCTCTTGACTGCTTCTGCTGCCTTTTTTTCTGCTGTCTTACTCCTCTGGATTTGTGAACCCATCCTCTGCCTTACCAGTTAGAGGATATACAGACCTACTCTCTCTGTGCCTTTTATGACAATCTGTTCATGCTGTCTAGGCATCATTTTTCCTCACCCTCAAAATCTCAGCTGTGTGATCTCCACTCAAAAGGTTTGTGGAGGGAAAAAAACTGAAGTTTCTCCACTTACTCAGTTGAGAAGTAGAGCAGTCCCTCCCAAAAGAAATCTCTGGGCACCACCTTCACTGGGAGGAAACAATGGCAGCAAATAGGGCAGCAGCAAGGAGGCAAGCCCTCGCTGGTTTTAGGAGCACCAGAAAGCTTAACAGCTCCAAAGTTCATCCCTTCATTTCCTTTTTTAATCTAAAGAACATTCCAGAGCCTTGTACAAGCACAGCAGGCACTGCAGAAGGCTCGAATGCTTGCCCATCCTGAGGCAGCAGAGATCCCATTCCCGCTTTTTATAAGATATTGGACACACTGTCCTGACTGTCTAAACTCTAGGCACTTCTGCAGCAGTAACCTATCTCTCTGCATGGATATACACAACACTGTCTGGTGTCTTCCCAAACTAGTGTTGTGCTTGTGGATTAAAAGTTGCTGCTCAGAAATGGGGATGCTGCTGGTGTGAGCAAAGGAGTCTTTAATTTGGCCCACATCTGATAAAATGCGGTTTTACTAACCTGTGAAAGTTCCTAAATGAATTATAGTTCCATGAAGTGAACAGCAAACCCTTCCCTCACACAAACATTCTAGACTGAGGGTTGGATTTCATAAGGGTTTCTGGGTATTGGTTTTTTAAGATCCTGTTAGGTGCTTTTAGTTATCATTTCCCTGAGAGCAGTTAGGTGCATTTGAAGATCAAACTTGCTGTGTGTGGCTATCAGAAATAATGCTGGGAGGATGGAAGGCACAGCCATTAAACTGAAAGACTTGAATTTGTTTACTCCTGTTAATAAAATCATTGCTGAATTAAACTATTTATATTGCTGCAGCTAATTTAGTTAACAAGACAAATTTGTTCAGCCTCATCAATGCCGTGTTCAGAAGCCTGCTAGTGATTAATCATGGTTCTTTTTTTTTCCCCCCCAACATCCATAAACATTCTCTGAGATTGCATAGACTCAATATAATTGTTATTATTTTTTTGTTTCTCTTTCAGAGGTGCCATGAAACGGGTCGTGAAAGCCATGAACCGGGTGGACCAAAGAAAGCACGAGAAGTTTGCCAACCAGTTTAACTATGCACTGAATTAAACTGTTCATCGTCTTTGCCCTTGAGTGCAACTGCAAAAAAACCTTGATCAAAGATGCTTGTATTTATACTAAAATACTGTGCAAGGCACATTTTTACAGGGGTCGTTTTAAAATTGTTTCCAATTTCAACTTATTTGATAGTAAACATTAATTTTGGCAAAAGTGTGGTGGTACAGAATGGAATGCATTTAACAAGTTGATAATTATTTGAAATGCACATGAAATAGAGATGTTTTGTGATTTGTACTCTGGGTAAAATCTTCACGTTTCGGGGGTTGGTTTTTTTCTTTCCTAAGGGACTCTTGTAATTTATCCTTCCTTTGCCAGCATGTGTGTTTAATTTGCCTACACGCTCATGCCTTCAGAACAAAAATAGATACCTTAAATACAATTAGATTTCTACCACAGATGGCAATGCACGAAGTGTTTGCTCAGCCTACTGTTCTAGAAAGTGTGCCACAGCAAGCAGCACAGTGGTTCCTGCAGTACTTCTAAAAACCTCGTGTACACATTGAAAAAATCCAAATGTCTTCCACTCATGAGTGGAGTAGAGTTTGATTTCAGCTAATTGAAATTTGGTAGCTGTGGCACAGATGGAAGCACTGAAATGACACAGGTCATCCTGGTCTGCTGCTTGTCTTCCCAAGATCATGTCCCAATATCTTTCAGAACTACTCCTGGAAGGCATGTTGTGAAAGTCTGTAGAAATATGCAGAATGTGCTCCATGAAGTGAAAGTATGAAGTTTAAAAAAATTATTCAAGTAGCTCACTGTACTAGTGAACTGCCTAGCTTGGATCAGTTACAATTACATTGGGCTGAAGCCTGAGAGTGTATCTGAGGATCCAGATATAAACACAAGCATCTGGACTCCTCCAGTTCCAGAGATTTAACGTGCATACTGAGATCAGGCAGCGGGATCCCGCGTGGGTTGTAGTTCTTGGCTGGGTCTTTAACCAGACCTCCCAGACTTGCTGTGCTGGCTCTAGTCATGTCTTAAGGAGAATGAATGAAACATTGACCAGTGGTGCTCTTGCAAGATTTCATACAGCTTTAAGGGTGAAGGAAATGCAGAGAGCTAGGAGGACACAGTGTCTGAAAATCAATTTCAAAGTGAACTGCAAAAGTCTTCAATGAAATACTGAATACAAAATGGAATGGATTCTATAACTCTGTCTTAGTCACTCACCTGCTGGAGGTGTTACCTCATGCAGACTACAAGAATTAAAAATGGAGAAAATTTTAACAACTCAGTGTAGTTTCTGGCCACCTCAGACAAAAGCTAATTTAAAGTTCTGCCAAATACCTTCTGACTTGCACAAGTATTGCTTAGAAAGCAATTAATGCTGAATCTGGGTAGTTTATCTTGCGAGAGCTCTGCAGTTTGGAAGACATTTTGTTAGCACAGGTTGATGTACTTTTGAACTACTGAAAATAATAAAAGGCCAAAATTTCAAATATTATCTACTGCACTGGAAAGCAAAGCCACTTCTGCTATGAGTCTTGCTAATGCAACAGTGAAGACTTAAGGTGAAAATGTAGGTAAGGACAAACCAAGTTCATCATCAAGTCAGTTGAATCAGCTTCTGAATTGACTTGATTTCCTATTAAGGACAAAGTCACACAGGAAAAAATATAAAAAAAAGACCACACATTTGAATGTAATTCTGGTCATTGGATGCTTCGATTCCCCAAACAGTCCAGAAGAAACGGACGCGTGGTGATTAATATTCCAAAGAGCCACGAGGGTCACTGTGCCACTATTCCAGGGATTCTTGAGCCTGCACAGGCTGAAGGTGTTAAATTATAAATTCTGTTTTCTCTGCTCCCTGTGACAAGAGTGGGGATTTTGTATTTTGTGGTGACACTTAACCCTTCTTTGCTGGTTTAAGCAGCAAATGTCAGCACTAGAAAGTTCCCAGCAAACAGTAGATGCACTTTAACCCATGGAGTTCCCGTTTTGGGCCTTTCATAAAAAGCCCGGGGACTGAGGTTGGAAATAAAACTGGTAGAAGTCTGAGGGGGAAAAAAAAAAAAAAAAAAGTGTGGTTAGTAAGTGATGCTCCATTATGAGCAACCTGGTCAAGTGGAAGGTGCCCCTTCCCATGGCAGGGGGCTTGGAACAAGATGATCTTTAAGGTCCCTTCCAACCCAAATCATTCTGTGATTCTATGATGCTACTCAGTCATGTCAGTTCTAGAATCATGAGCTAAAACTTCCTCTCTGGACTCAGTTGTCTAATCTGCTTGTTCCTATCGTGTCACTATATGCTTTCCACCTTTCCTTATTAAAAGCACACATGCATGAAAGAAAAGGGTTTTCCTCGAGTGCCTCTTTCATGCAGAAAGAGAATTTGCAGAATTAAGGTTTCCTGGCAAGTGACTCAGACACAGGTACCTGGACTTTGGGCCAGGTTGGTGGCCAGCAATGACTTTTTCTAAAGCTCTTCTACTTTTTTTTTCTGCCTTTTTTTAATTTTTTGTTGTAAGAAGTTCCCTTGTCAGGTAAGGAATATACTCAGTTGGATACAAAAGTTTTTCTTCCTTTCTGCCTTGAACCAAGACAAACCATTGACCCTTCATAGGAGAATGTGTTGATCCCACATCCCCTGTAGCACTGCCTTTTTGTTAGCCTGGCCTCTTGCCAGCGTGTATCTTCCCCTCGTCTGGTGTTTGACAAAGCCTTCTCCTCCTATGTTAATTATTGCCTCTTTTAATCCAGTTATTTCTCCAAAAGAGCAACTCAGCATATGTACACACAACAGGTGTTGAATTTTGTCACTTAAGCATTCTCATTAGATCTGGTCAGACATAATCCACAGGGTTTGGGGGAGTTCTCCTCTTCCTGGGTGTAGCTGGAGGGAAAAAAAAAAAGGCATTGATCTCCAAAGATCCAGTTTACCTTCACTAAATAGAAATCCTTTTAAGCTCGAAACAGAACAATCTACTTTTTAGATACATCACACTGCTTGTGTGTCACTTAACAGCCGTTTACAAATTTGAGGTCTCTGAGCTCTCTAGTTCTGCAAACATCTTAATTGCTCAACTGATTGTGCAACATTTCTACTGGGACTTTTCCTGTGCTCAGGGCTTCTGGGAAAAAAAATAAATACAAGTATCATTCGCATAATCTCTGTGTGTGTTTTTGTCTCTCTAACTGGGACACCTTTGCAGTTGTACTTCTGCCCACTGGGGACGCTGCGTGTGATTCCCAGGTATCTGAACACCTTGGGATGATTTGGCCCTTGGAGTGTTGTTAAGATGAATAGTTGTAATGCAGGTTGAACACTGTGTGTCCAAAGGGACTTGTGAGCTGTGCTGATGCATCTAAGTCATCCTTCTTTAACTAGGGCTGTTTCAGTGGTAAAACAAGAAGTGAAAGCAAAGACTTCTCCATGGTTTTTCTTACCTGAGAATATGGTTGCATCTAGGAAGGAACCTAGGAAGGCTGGAAGGAAAAAGACTGTGGCATGTATGGATTTGGTGCTGTTTAAAGTTGGAATGAAGGGTCTGGCCCTCTAATACAAAGTGCTTAGTGACACAAGTGAGCTTGGTAAGGAGCTTCTGAATAAAAGCAATCCTTCAGCACCTGCCCTCTGAGGTTACAGGGATGAGGAGTCCCTACTCATCTTTTGTACAATACCTTGTGATTTCGTTTTCTCTAAACTTGAGGCTTGGCTTTAACAACCCGTGTCTGGCTGAAAGAAGATCTTAGAAATTACATTTAAAGGATTTATCTGGGGTTTGGGGGTTTTTGTAAGCAAAACAGACATGGGATTTGTAAGCAGTTCTTCATGAACAGTGGATCACACCACGTAGAACAGTTTGCGTGTTGGGGAAGGCATCAGCGAATCAAAGCAGACATTACTGAAAGAAAAAACCATCTTTCTTCTGTGGAAAACAAAATAAGAACCTGTTCCATTTAAAGTGGCTGTGGAAATGGACAGTAAGGGTGTTCCTAGTTACAAGGAACCTCTAGCCAGCAGCAGGAAGTATTGAATCTCAGGAGCCAGCCAGGAAAAACCCAATTCAGTGTGTATCACAGCAGTTCAGCAGAGGCAGATGAGCCATCTGGTGGTCTCTCACGCTCTGCAAATGCCTGGCTGTGGTGCAACTGTGTGTGGAGCTTATCTAGTTCTATTAAACACATTTGTGCTTTTAATCATGGAGGTGATACAAATGTCTCTGTAGGTTATGCATCAGAAAAGGTAAGGACATCTGGATGTTACAGCAGTACTTTAGTGATGAAAATCAGATGTTTAAAACCTTTTGGGATGCCTCACGCCCCCCAAACACACACCTTTAACAAAGTCACTGATTTTAAACAGGCAGTGGAAGTCATAATGCACCCAACAGCTTTCCTGCTGGAGCACACATTCAGGAGGTGCAGTTCAGGTCCCTTCTTGGCCTCAGAGGTGACAGTCCCATGTCCTGTCTCAGGGGACAGCCCAAGCCACTGGCAATTTAAATGGAAGGGAGCTGGTAGGAAACATTTCATATCTCCTGTTTTCACGTGGGAACTGAAACTGAACCACAGTGGAGCTAAAAATGCTTCATGTAGGAAACTAGACAAAGGATAAAAGAGAGCCTTGGAGATGACAGTCCCCAGACTGAGGCAGGGAGGGCTGGATCTGAATCCTTATTCCCTTGACACCTGCCATTAAAAACACCACTGAGCTCCCTCATAGATACTGTCACCAGCTAGATCATTCCTCAGGACCTCTTGGACACTGAAGCCTGAGAGAAGGGTGTTATTCTGGTAATTACTGGAGAGCAATTTCTCCATATGTCTGTTCTGGCATGCACTGGGACAGCTACATTTAAATATACCCCAAACAATTAACACCATCCTGCTCGTGGGTGAACATAACACTTGAATTTCCATCTGCAAACATGAAAGCTCTGCTCTAAGCAGTGCCCAAGGAAAACTCCACAGTGCTGGGAGTGCAGAGGAAAGTTAATCCATAGCAAGGTGAGAGAAAAAACAGAGTAGAGACTTAAGGCATCAGGGAGAGGTGAGTCAGAAGCAGAAGGTGAAAACAGGAAGGGGCAATGGCCTTCCTGAAAAGGCACCATCACACACACCCAAACAAAAACCCTCAATCTTAGTAACAGTAACAGAATCAGCCACCAGTCACAGTTACCTGAAGGTCCACTGAGAAAAAAAGCAGGTCTGGAGCCAAGTCAGCAATGGGAAATCAGGGTGAGGGTCAGTCAGCTACACAGCCAAGCACAAAACAAGCACCACAGCTCGGGAAAGAGACCCCACATAAATGCAGTTCCCCTGCAACCAGCTGGAGGGTTCGAGGTGGAGGCCCTGGGTAGGTCTCTCCCAGCTTAGCTGGTGCCCTGGAGCCAAAGTGCTGCAGCTGTGCCACATCAGCACAGAGATCAGACACCTGCCAGGGTGTGGGCTGGGGACACCCAGGAGGATCACACAGAAAGGTGAAAGGTGGTGAGGGAAATTAGAGCCTGCTGGTACATTCAGAGTCATAGCACCATCCCTCTTAATGGATGTGGTGAAAGTCCTATTACAAAATCCTCCAAGAGAAAGCGGAGGTATTAAGAAAGAGGGTGGGAAAGGCCTCAGAGCAGCAGCCCCAGATCGAGACCAGTCTGGGCTCTCCCCATCCGGCAGCACTGGTGACCCCTTCAGCTGAGAGAGGTGCTAAGCATCCCAAAACTTGGCATATCCCCTGGAAAATACATGTGGATGAGAGCTGGATCTGCCTGGCAGCTGGACAAATTGTGACCCATGGGACAAAGTTATTGTTCCTGAAGGAAAAGGAGAGAGATCTATTAATTACTCTGGTTTCTGAGTTGATGCTTTCTCTCCTCTTCCTCTTCTTCAAAGCTGATTGAGTGTAGAAAAAAATAGATTCATGTCCTCGTTGAGCCTTTCCTACCAGCTAGGTCTGGGTGGTACAGAGCCTAAATGTAGTCACCAGCTCAGGAGGGCAGTGGGGGACCAGGCTCTGCCACACTGGGAGGAGGGCACAGTGTGTTTGTGCTCGTGACAAGGCTGCACCAGAGCCTGGGCAAACTGAGCTGGACTTTATTCCAGTGCAATGTTCCTCCATCTCTAAATGTCCATGACTTAAATATTGTCATTTGGCTTTTTGGGTAGACTTCCCCTTGCTTTCCTGCCTGCCAGCACCCTAAGCAAACCTCCACTGCTCCTGTGCCAAGTGCTTGTATGTTTTTGCATTAGCATCAGGAATCCCCTCTGTCAAGGGGTTAAGGAAAAAGCTTATTAAAATTGTTTAAATGTGGTGTTAATTAGTTTAGATGTAATGAGCAGCATTAGGCGTCTGGTTACTTAGAAAGGGGTTGTTGAATAACCATTTCTGCCGATGTTCCAATTTGCATAATGACAAGGTGCTGGCATTGCATCCACCATTAATTTGCTGTATTTATAACACCATTATGGAGCCACTCTTATCCTTGCACACTGTTAAGGGTATATGGAAATATAATATATGATTCTGCTTGTTTGGAAATTGCTTCTGGATATCTTTGAGTTTTTGTAATAGTACTTTTGGCAGCTGAAGGCTAACAGCACCAGGAGGAGAGTCTGCCACTTGGGCAGAAATTAAATGTTGCTTGCATGGGTTTATTTTCCCCAGTGCTGAAGCAGAAACAGCAAAGGCGAGTGTGATCAGGTGAGCTGCAGAGCGTGCTCAAGGCAAACACAGTATTTCACTCCAAATCACCACTACAAGGCATAATGCTGGTGCTTGAAGCCCCAAAGAGCATCCTTAATCACTAATCTCAAAATATTTAATAGGTCACAGAGAGTGCAGCTTGGCACTACAAACTCTCCTTCAACACAAGGAGTCGGAGGAACCCTACCAGCAGCTCTTCCTGCACTTCTCTTCCCCTCCTGCAGTCTCTGGGAACGAAGGCAGAGGAAATAAATCTTGTCATCCTACCTGTGTTACAGGTGAAAAGACAGGAAAGAGTCCCCATATGAGCAGGGCAAGTTCTTGTAATGTATGTGAGTGGTTGAGGGAGGAAAAAGAACAAAGAAAATGAGCAATAATTATTTATTTGTACTAAGGTTAGTAGAACTATTTTTCTTCTCTTGAAAAAAACAGCAGTTTACTGAAAGGGGTGAATTCTTACTGTGTCAATCATAATAATCTTTATTATGTCATCCCACATAAACATTTCTGTGACTTACGGTTCTTTGCTGTGGTGTCATCCCTCCTGCGTTGTCACTGTAAAATGTTCCTGGTGTGTGTCGTTGCAGAGAAGAAAATCTAAAAGATGTACTTTAAAATTAAGTCTAGTACTTTGGGTACAGCTAGCTAGTTTTAGTTAGCTGGACACTTGTCATGTCATGAGATTAAATTAGAAAATCACATACTGATATTGCCGACCCTGCATGCCCAGACTTATGGGTGCTGACCATGCTCTCTGTGTCCTGGGTGTTTCTCTATTGACACAGGGTGCATCCACAGGATTCCCAGCATCAACAGGATGTCTCCTGAATGGGCAGCTGCAGGTTTCTGAGGTTGTGATAACCTGTTTTAAAACTTATCCTGTATGAAGTCACATCTCTGCCAGACAGCATCAGGAAAGGAGAAAGAGCTTTTACTGCCAGTGTTATTTTCACTGTGACAACCCTAGTTCTGTCCACTCAAGATGTCTGTGTAACACAAGCATGTGGTACAGAACGTGAGCGTGTCGGCAGAAGGGGGAGAAGAGGAAGAAAAAGCACCAGATAGAGAAGAATGTGGTTTATGTAATAAACTATTTATGTAAACCCAATTTGTGAGACAAATTGATGAGGATCCCCTTTGTTTACTTGCCTGTCCCCTCCTTCCTCAGGGTCCGCTCCGGTCTCTGCCTTGTTCTGGAAAAAAATCCAGTGTCAGAAAAAAATCTTTCTTTCGTTTGCTCCTAAGAAAGGCTCTACAAAAAACATATTGGCTTGCTTAGTCTTTGAAACACAAAACAACCTGAAGACCAGAACTGCCCAGACATTGTGAGAAAATGTTCTTTTGAGTATTTAAACTCAACTGTGTCTGAACAGAATTATTTTATCATGTAATAGAGGAGTTGATGGATATTTGCAATATAGCTGACTACAAGCAGACATCGTGGTGTATTTTTGAGAAATGGACATAAGTTGCTACAAACAAAGCTTTATTTTTAGCATTTTGTTTATGTAGTATAGGAGAAGAAACATGTAACATGACTGTGAGTTCAACCTGAAACAGAAGGTCTGTGATGCATGTCAAAAACCTCCAGGAATTAATTTTAAAAAGTAACTCACTACACCTACATTGCCTGCTCAACTGGAAATAACACAAGGAGTTTGGGGAGGGGTTATAATACAGAACTGGTTTCTAATGATTTGGTGTAACATCATTGACTGCTGAGTGTAATCAATGACACAAAATATTTCAAAATATTTTCAGTTCTCCCTTAACCATTTGGAATGTACCCTTCTGTATTTATGCGCTTTTTTTCTGTTATTTCGATTATAAGATATTTTACTGTTGTTTGAGTAAACATGAAAAACTGAAACTTGTTAGCTGAAATAAGCTGAAATATATGAAGTAAAATAGGTGCGGTTTCCTTTTCTCTTAACCTCATTCATTCATATGGTGAACAAGAGTAAGATGCAATTAATATGTGAATCTTTTCTCACTAATACAAGTTTGCACCCTTGGATTTAACATTTACTTCATGGGAATTAGTTGAAAAAGATGCTGATGTCCCAGATCATCTTTGGTACGTGCCAAAGATGTCACCTAAACACACTGAATCAGACTCCAAATGTGCTGCTCATTTTGCCTGAGCTGAGACTTTGTCCTCAGGCAAACACTTCGTTAAATGTCCTCTTGAATGTGTTCTGCATTCTTAGTCTCCTAACATTAAATTTTATGAATGAATAACAAAGTAATTAAAAAAGAATTAGCTCATGGAATGAACCAGAGCAAACACCTCCTGCTTGTGTCATAACCATCATCCCCTCAGTCAGTCCATTCTACTCACTCTGTACCAGGGTGTCTGTAGCTCATTGATGACTCACTGAAAACAAGCTGCAGCCCTTCAAAAAGCTCTGTGCAGGAGCACCAGGCGTTGTGTGCAGTGCAGCAGGTACATCAGGTAGGTACCACATGGGAAACGGCTTTTGGACCTTGCTGGGGGGTCGCTGTGGGGCTTTGGGGTCTATCTGGTAGGACCAACCTCAGGGTGCTGCATCAAGCCCTGTTTCAGTCTCCTAGAGAGCCGGAATGTCAGCGGGCAGGAACACGGGGGATGGAGTCAGGAGGTTCAGGCAAGTGAGAGCATTTTGCTTTACGGGGGGCTGAGCCTTCAGGTCAGGGATGTTTTTCGACAGCTGCCCTGTGTCAATACCATCCCGCTTCTCACTGTCAAGTCTGTAACCACACAGTCTTGATCCAACACCACAAAACAGCTGCAGAGTCGTGGTCCAGGGGGCACTGTTTGAGTTTTCAGCTCTTGGGTGCTGATCCTCTAAATGCCCTCTGCAAACGGACAGTATCCTGTGATCGGACACTCCTGTACACCTGAGTGTACGACGTGCCCTGCACCTCTGCAAGGGCTGCACGCCGGGGAGGACACGCACTAGAACTGGGGCTCTGCAGTTCTGCTCTCCAATTCTATGAGCTCAGACCCCTGGATGAGGCACTCGAGCAAGGGTTATCAATAACTTCCTAAACTATGCTGAGAAAGATACCTGCGGCTCTGTTTTCAGCAGTGCTATAAAATGTGAGAAGCCTTGTTAAATCGCGTTTAATGACTGGGAATCTCAGCCTAACTGATTCCTTCATCCAGCAGCTGTGAGTAATAATACTCACATGAGCAGGTTTCACTGGCAGGACGCTAGCAGACCTGCAGTAGGAATATCACGTTCTCCGAAGCTCTGAGCAGCTCCAGTTGGAGCCAAATTATTTCCCCCTGGGGAGAGGGGGAACTGTTTGGAGCTCCCGGAGTGCAGAGAGGGGTCGAATTATCTGTTCAGCCCTGTCGTGCTCCACCTGAGCTAACAGTTCGGCTGCTAGTAGCACTTACTCAAACCTGGCAGGCAAAGGGATAGCTGTGCAGTGTGAGAGAATCTCCTGAGTATCTGTTTCCCAGTTTAGCTGGATTTCTCCTATCAGCAAGAGCTGTGCAGAGCACACTACTTGTAAGGTTTCCCCTGAAATTTTACTTCAGAACGTCTTTTATCGTAAAAGTTCTTATTTTCGCAAATGCAAATGAGTCTAGTCCGAGACTTCTGGCGCTTGTACGCTTCTACACGCGGGGAAGCGAGTACCCGGAGCATCCCGCATCCTCCCCGCGGCTCCCGCAGGCTGATGGACCCCGCACCCATCGCGCCGTGGAAACCATCGACCCTGCGGGGATCTGCACCGTGGAGCCGGCTCTACTCCCTTCTTGCCTCTAATATCAGCAATCGCGACAGAATTTATTTCCACGGGAGGGCTGAAACGTTTAATTTCATTCCGGACCAGGTGTGCGGGATTAGGCTGCGGAGCGTCCGGACTAGCGCGATCCCAGACGGGGCCAGGCTGAGGGGTCGAGGGGGGACCAGGGGGAAGGACCCGAGGGAGGAGCGAAGCCCGGACACCCCGGAAACCCGCGGCACCACGCACACCCCGCCCGCCGGGCAGCGATGCGGTGGTGCCTGCCAAGTCGGTCCCCAGGGGAGGGGGATGCGCAGCGCTCCCCAAAATCGCTCCGGAAAACGCTTGTTCCTTAAAACTTCCCCCGAGGGAAAAAAAAGAAGAAGAAAAAAAAAGAAAAAAAAGCCCCCAAAAAAACCACAAACACCAAAAACTAGTGGAAAATGAGAACTCTTCCCCGGCGTGTGCTTTGGGGTCACGCACGGAGTTGGCAAACAAGGTAACAGCGTCACTGGGCCAACGGGAGCCGCCTCGAGGTGCTCACAGCGGTTATAGTCTTTTTCTTTGAAATTAAAATAAAAAAAGAGTAAGGATTATGAAAGTCCGACTTCGATACGAGTTTAAAAGTAATCAGCGGAAAGGCGATGGAAAGACTACTTTATTTTTAAAAGTGGTGGAATTTGAAAGAGCCGACTTACTAAATTTATATATCCAAAATATTGGACTCCTCGTCAGTGGAAACAAGGCAGAGGTGTCGGATTCTCTCTATATATAATTTATTTTTTTTTGTTCTTAATATTGCACAAATCGGCAAAGCCAATTAAGAAATTACAAACAAGGGAACCAAGAAGGGAAATACCCTCTCTCATACAAGAAGAATAAAGTTTATTTGCGTATAAGAAATACGCTCTCAGAGTAAACAACAAAAAAAGAAAGATGCAAGACATCCCTCCAAGCGTCTCATGAGCCAGGCGTTTTCCTCAAGAAACTTGCCTTACAAAGATTCAGCCGAAAAACAGGGACTCGCCAGCACGGAAAGCGCCGTTTCCTTAGAGTTTATTGATTGATTTAAAGTGTTTAGCAAACAAAGTGCTTTCTTTATCACCTCTTGCTCATTACTCCCTCACCTTATACATTAATTACAAAGTTAAAACTTTTTTTTTTTTGTAACAACCAGAAATATACAGAAATGGTTAACGTAAAAAAACCAGCCCTGCACCCCAGCAGCTGCCCCTGCCGCCCCTTCCCAGGCGAGATTCCCTCGCCCCCGCGGGTCCGCAGGGTCTCAGCCGAGCTCGGGGGTCGTTCGAGAGTGACGTCTGTAAAAAATATCCGTCGTCACCGTGAGGTCACGGGAGGGAGCGGAGCGTCGTTGCCTCGGCAATGTCGAGGGACAGGACCGATAAGTTCTCTGCTTTACCCTGAGAGTCAAATGGGTACATAATATTTTCTTTTTTTAAAGTCTTTTGAGTGTGACCAGACTAGAATAAAAACAAAGTCAAATAATAATAATAATAATTAAATTAATCAAACCCACATAGCAACGAGGGACGGTGAAAAAATAAAAATACGGGTAACAGTGATTTACATCTACTTGTATGTACACGGGGGAGGGAGGTTTTCCTCCTCCTCCTCCCTTCAGCAGCGCAGTTCGGACACATCGCGTAGAAAAAGGGCCGTAGAAAGGACGGAGGGCGGGGGGGCCGCCCCTTTGCACCCCCGGGGTCGGTGGCAGCCGGGGGGCAATGGAAACACCTGGCTGTCCCTTCTCTTCCACCCCCCCCGGTGTCGCTGCCAGTCGGTTCTTGGTTTCACCTCTCGGGAGCGGGGGGTCGTGCGGTGAGCGGCTCCCCCGGAGCCCGGCCGGGTGGTCCCGAAGGGGCACAGCGGGAACGGGCCGGGAATAAGGAGGATGAGGAAGGGGCGTCGCGGCTTATAGGTGCGGGGTGTAGAAAGCCGGGGCGCCGTAAGTCTGGGACCCCAGGACGAAGGGCGAGAGGACGGCGGGGCTGGGCAGGAAGGGCAGCTGTGCGGCGCAGACCAGCCCCCCGGCCGGGTGCCCGGCGTAGCTGCCGGGGCCGTGCATGGAGAGCGGGGCGCCCATGGGCGGCGAGTGGCTGAGCGGGCTGAGCCCCCCCGGCAGCGCCCCCCCGCCCAGCGCGCCCCCCGCCCCGCCGCCGCCGCCCCCGCCCGTGGGCGCGCTGGTGTCCGCCCCGGGGTTCTGCTTCTTCCACTTGGTGCGCCGGTTCTGGAACCAGATCTTCACCTGCGTCTCGGTGAGGCTGAGCGACAGCGCCAGGTTGAGGCGCTCGCACACCGACAGGTACCGCGTGGACTTGAACTTGTTTTCCAGCGCCACCAGCTGCTCGTAGGTGAAGGCTGTCCGCGCCCGACGGGGCTTGCCCGACTTGGAGTCCGAGCCCGTCCTCTTCCTCTTGGGCTTGGCCTGCGGGCCGGGCTGCGCCCCGACGGGCGGCGGCGGCGGGGGCGGTGGCGGGGGCGGCGGGGGCGGCTCGGCCGGCTCTGCTCGGAGCGGCCCCGGGTCGGGCTCTCCGGGAGCCGCCGGGCCGGAGCTGCCGCCGCTGCTGCTGCTGGTGCTGCCGCTCTCCTCGCTGCACAGCTCCTCGTCGTCCGGCAGCTCGCTGTCGGGGCTGCGGCTCGGCCGGCTGCTGTAGTCCAGGTCGCACTCCTCGGCCTTGTAGAGCTCCCCGTCCTCTGCGGACAAGCGACAGACGCTGTCAGGGATCGCCGCCCGGCCCCCGGCCCCGCCCGGCCCCAGGAGGAACCGGTCCCCCCCCCCGGGATTCACCCACCCCGTATCCCCGCGGCTGTCGGGAAAAGGATGCCCGGCCCTCCCCGGCTCTCCGCCCGCCGTGGGGATGCGGCTGGTCCGGGCCCCCTGCTCCGGGAGTGGCCTGGAAGCACATGGAGAGGAGCCGGGGCTGGACTGGGGACACGTGGCGAGGAGCCGGGCAGAAGCGGCCAGGATAGCGGTTCGGAGCCGCCTCCGAGGACAGCCTTCACCTACGAGCCTTCTCTGCAGCCCTGGGGCAGAGAAGGGGCTGTCCAGCCCGGCAAGGCTTTCCCAGAGCTGCCCCTTCCGAGCTACCCACTTTCGGCAAGAGCTTGCACCGAGATATGGCCCGGGTCAGGGGATACAACCCCCTTCCCACCGCCACCAACGCGCCCACAAAACAACCGGTGGCTGGAAGAGACTTTGGGAAGACAGCAGGGGGGGTGTCCCCGGGACGCTGGAAGGGACGAGGAGCAGCCGGGGACAACCCCCGCCCGGGCAGGGCCAGCCGTGCCTGGGATGTCACAGCGCTTCTAACAATTTTAGTGACGGAAATCTCCGAATCGATGGGAGGTTTGCTGGTTTTTGCTCTGGCATTTTTAACCCTTCCTGCGTCTGGTTTGACCTCTTGTCACTTCCCGAAATGGAAGTATTAAAGTGGAGTAAATACTTGTATTGATTAGCAGAGCAGATACAAACTTAATTAAACTCATTTTGTGCAATGTACAAACTAGTTAACGGTCATTTAATTTATTTGGGTTTATATTACGCTCCAATTAACGGGTCTCCATCGGAGAACAGGGTAATTATCCGATATTTAAAGCTATTGGACTTCTGCTGACGGTTCTGTCATTATGAAGCCTAAAAGCAAATTGCGTTTTCCGGAGAACCGGCTCCTCTTCACCCCGGCCCGGGCTCCTTCGGGGGAGCGGGAGGAGAATCCTCTGCACGTCACGGGGATGGGGGAGGCCCCGCGGACAGGTCGGGGGCAGAGGCCTGTGAGTATCGTCTTTTTTAGCCGGTGCTTTCAGACACTCCTAAACTTCCCTCCACTCGCAACGGGGGAGCAGCTCCGGGAACCCCTAATCAAGGACTCCTTTAACTTGGTTAACGGAGATACATAAATGAGAAATGAATCGCTGGTCTGTCACCTTTATCCTGTCCGTAATTTAGTTGGTTTTAATCCTCAAAAAACCTGAACACACCGCAAATTTCGTCCGTATCCCCCCATCGGACCCTCTAACGCCCATGTGTAAAATTAAGGGTGGTTTTAAAAGTGTGTTTTGTTCAGCGCGCTGATTTCGGATAGGGATGGTTTAGTTGGAGAAAAAGGGGCAGAGAAGTTTATAGTAGTTCTTTTCACCCGGAAAATATCCCTTAATAACTCGGGGTTCATGAGGAGCCCTTTCCAGCTTTCTGTTCAGGTCGGCGCACGGAATAGGCGGGCGATCGCCACCGCACAGACGGGAACCGGGTCAGTTTTCTCCCAACCCGACCCCGTGAGTGCAGACGAGTGTCCTGCAACCTGTAGAACCTGTTAGAAATTGCAGGGCGTAATTTTTGCAACAACAATTAATAAAAAGTGCGCGTAGCTACCTCTGCGGAGCAGACCCGGGAGCTGAGCGCAGCCCCCGCACTCACACACGGACCGGACCGGGAACCCGCAGCTGGCAGTTTTGAGGTTTAATTTTCCCTCTAGGAAACCCCTACCGTAGCTCAACGAAATTTTTTTTAGACAAAAAAAAAAAATGCAACGCGAATAGAACTGGCGACGGAGATGGACCCTGGATTTGCCGGGTTTTTTTCTGGAATATGTTAAATGGGAATTCACTAGAGACTTTTACCTGATATTTTTGACATTAAAATAGTTTTACGAGCGGCGAGTGACGATCGCCGTTGCCACTCTCCTTTGGCCAGAAAGCCTTTGCGTTTTCCGGGGGCGTTGATACTTTTCTGGCCAGAGCTACTTTTCGGAACACTTCTCCTACATTAAACCACCGCTTGAACTAATATTGATTACGATAGGGAAAGAGAATAATTAAATTTCGTGATTTTCGAGCAGTCCCAGACCTATTCCTGACCGTTGCCATAACATTGAGGCGACGTGGCCGAAGGGCTCCATGTGCGGAGCGTCCGGCGAACTTGTCAGCGGGCAAAGCGCACCGCGGCGTGGAGCCTCCAAGGGTATTTATTTTGAGAGAAGGGATGGAGTTGCATTTCTCTCCTTGTCTGGAGATAAAAGTGTGAGATTAGCGATAGGCTGACCTCGTCAGTCTTTCTGATCGCCCAGATCTATTTAATATGACAAAAGTCAGATGAATTTAGAGGAATAATTACTAACCCAGCTCCGCGCTGCTTTAAAAAATGTCTTTTGAATTCTATTAATGCCCCGTTCCTGCTTTTGCCTTACAGATGAAAAATGCGTCAAGGCTCGGTCTGGAGCAGATTCCAGACCTCTTTTGCTGACTAATTTTAACTGACAGAGTCTTGTTATGGCGCGGTTGGAAACCTCCGAGTCCTCCTCTCTTCCCCTCAGACACAGAGAAATTCTTTTTCCTTAACCGAGAAGTTTATCCCCCGCCGCCCGCTGCCCCTTCTCTCCCCTCTCAGGACATGGAATAACTATTTATATTTTTCACAACAACCGTCTTTTGCCGGAAACCCTCTGCGATCCCCAGAGTCTCGGTGTTTAGAGGTGAGAAAGTTGGGATATTTGGACCCAGAAAGAAAAAGCAATCTAGAGCTTGGGTCGAATGCAATTCTCGATCAATAGCGAGCCCTAATAAGTGTAATAGGTTTTAATCGAGTAATTATCCGAATTTTGACCCTATAATTTAGATGTTAGGGAAGAGTTTGCAAGGTGCTTGAAAGAGATATGCACAATTCGATAATAGGATATCGATCCAGGCAGTCCTACATGCCACTCTGGGGCGATTTTCCCCATTATCCAGCCTCTTTACGCTGCTAAGCACATTTTACCTTAAATGTAATCGAAGGAATTTAATTGTTTTTCCAGAGATAACCAGCATTTTGTCACAATTAGTCTGATTTGTCCTAAAAAAGCCAAGGGGAGAGAGAAAATTGAATCTGTCGCCCAGAGCAACGGGCGGCAGCGGCGGGGGGAGGACAGGAGAGGGGTCCAGGGCTGGGAGAGAGAGATACAAAGTCATAAAAGCCTGCGGGGACCCAGGCGAGATGGGGGTACGGAGGGAGGGTTTTCACAGCCTCGGGGCTGGAGCTCCGGCCCGCCGAAGCCGAAGGAGCAGCTCGCAAGTTCGTCTGAGCCGGAGCTCGCAGCCACCGCTGCCCCTTCCCGAGAGGAGGAGGAGGACGGCGGGGTCCCTGCCCGACCCAGCCGGGCCAGCACCTCCAGGGCTGATCCTGTCTCCCCGGGGGATGAACTGGGCGAATAGACCAGTGTATCCCCGCTGAACTCCTCGGACAGGCGGGGAGTGGAGCCCGGCCGGTGCCGAGCTTCGGGAACCCAGCCCCGGCCAGTCCCGGGGTGATGCGCCCGGCTCCCCGCCCTGCCATCCCTCAGCCCAACACAGAATTCCACCTCTCCACATCCAGCAGCAGCAGTGCAGGGCGCATTTATCCTTCCCCAGAGCCCCGGCTCCCGAGGCTGCCAGCGGGGGAAGGATGACCTGTCAAAGCATGCGAGCCCCTTGCTCGGGGAGCTCGGAGGGGCTCCGAGCCCCCAGACCTACTTACTGATCAGCTCTGCGGATTTCTTGCACGCGTCGAAATCTTCGGCGAGAGCCTTTTGCTCGACCAGCTCCGTCCCTGAGTCCTCGGGTTTATCCTCCGCCCCCAGAGTGAACTCGGTCCCCGCCGATTTGTACAAGCCCGCGCACTGCCGCCGCTTGCTGTTGAACTTGTTAGGGTCCAGGATGTCGAGCACGGAGAAGGAGGTGGTTCTGTGCACCATGGGCAGCGCGGCCACTGCCCCCTCTTGTCCGGGGGTGTTGCTCTGGCTGTCCCCTTGCCTGTCCCGGTTGGCAGGGCAGTAGAGAGGCAGCTCACCGCCGGCCGAGAGCCGCTGCTCCCCGCGGCCGTCCATCCCTTCCCCGTGGCAGCCGCGGGGCTCCCCGCCGATGCCGACTGCGGGGGCTGTCACCGCCGCGGCTGCCGCTGTCGGGATGGAGATGTCACCGACCTTGTCTCTGCTCGCATTCATGACTCTTTGCAGAACCCCTCTCGGTCGCAACTTCTTCCCCCCCCCACCCCCCCTCTTGCTCTCCCCCTCCCTCCTTCCTCCGGCGAAGTTGATCTGGAAACTCCTCCCCAGCACCGCTCCGGCTCAGGACGAGCCGCTGCCTTCAGCTCCCCGGGGCTGCGCTGGGTCCAGCCGCCGGGAGCCTCCGGGGGAGGCAGGGAGTCACAAGGTGATGCTCGGCTCAGAGCCTCCACTCAGCAGCTCCTTCTTCCTTCTCATCATCCTCGCCAGGCTGCCCAGGCGCTCCTACCCCCCCTCCCCTCCTCTCTCTCGCACACACACAGAGGCAAGGCTGTAACTTATTTATGCATTCATATTTAGCACTGGATTGTAATTGGCTACAAATTAATCCCTTGCCCATAATAGTCTGTAATCTTCATCACTGGAGGAGAGACACGGTGAAAGTGTGTGCCGGGGGGAGGGGGGCAGAGAGGGAGAGAGCGAATGAAGGATGGTGTTGGCTGTGATATACTTGGCTGTCAGCTCTGTTTCAGCACACCTCCACTCATCTGGAAAGCATCTAAATAGCCTTATTTGGAGAAGTGGGAGGAGATGACGCTTTCTTTTAAATAATTGCGGGATCAATATAAAGAAGATATTATACACAGAAAATGGGAACTTAAGGTCTTCCATCCCTAATGGTGGAGTTAGATGATCAAAAGGGGATTATGTGGATGTGTGTGTGTGTGGGCTCAGAGGTGTCAGCCCCCAGCACCTGTTTCCCTTCCCTACTGGGTTTATTAAATTAGAACAAAAGGAGAAAATTATGGACGGAGGTTTAGCGGTTGGAGGGGACCTTGTGTCAGCGGACACACACCCCCTCACACGCTTCTCTCTCTCTCCCTCTTAGCTAATTAATTAAAATTAAATATCAAATGTAAGTGCCAGGAAAGTGCCGGGAGAAAATTAATACGTTTAAACGGCACAAGACAAAACACGACGATCAATAAATCCTGAATAACTGGGAGAAAAGGTCTGTTCCCTTCCATGCAGGAGTAAAGGTATAACCAGACCTAACTTCCACTTTCGAAAAAAATACTCTCTTTTTAAAAGTGGTTTTAATTATGGAAAATTAAAATATCCGAATAAAATTTCTGCAAATTATAAAACCTGATTTTCTTCCCCTACATAATTTCCTTCTCTTTCGTGTAGAGCCGTGTGTGCTTTGATCATATCAATTTCATTCTTGTTTTGGACGCTCCAGTCGCTATTCAGTTTGAATTAGCTGCCAGGAAAAAAAAAGGGGGGGGGGGCGTAGGAAAATAGAGAAAGCATAAAAGGAAAATTAGATTTTTTTTGTCTTTGAGGCTGGTGACACATACAAGGACAGGTCCTTTGCAATTACCGCGGGCAATGATCCTTTAGAAAGCAGAAATTAAAAGTTGGGAGAAATAATGGGTAAAACAATCAGCTTGTAATTTTGGTAGGGCTTGGACATGATTAGTCCATCAGCGGGCTGGGCCCAGGGGAGTCCCGCTGAGCCGGAGCCCACAACAGCCCCCGCTCATATATTATACACCAGCCCTTAGATTTTAATCAGACACCACAACAGTGTCCTTTCTCTTTTATGACTTTATTATGCTTTATCTTTAAATTATAAATCACCTCCTGGGTTGAAATGGTATGTATAATCTCTGATCATGTGTAGGTAATTACCTCTCCCCCTTGTCCTGACCTCACCGACGGGGCTGCCACGAACACACAGCGAGAGCGAAGTTTTAATCTGCGTGTGCACACACTCACACGAACCCACACGCAGGGGTTTGTTGGTTTGTTTGTTTGCTAACAGTTCCTCTTTCCCTTCTCCTCCGGCCATGTCTCTGATCCCATCCGTTTTTTTTTTTTTTTTTTTTTTTGAATATTTTTTCCTTCCATTACTTCTGCCCACAGCGCTGGGATTATTTATGAAAAGTAGATGGTGGTTAGGTAGGTGCCGGTGACTCGGTTGTATCGGATTCTCCTGCACTTGTACCTTTTTTTTTTTCGGTGAGAGTGCAGTTTATTTGGGGGTGACGGCGGTAGGGATATTTTTTATTCCCTGGGTCAGCAGGTCTTAGAAAAAAAATTAACCTAATTCTAATTGACTCCTGTGCCCGGGCATGGACCGTTCCCAGGCGTGCGGAGCCCAGAGCGGCGACAACAGCACAAATTCCATGGTCTGCGCTGGGCGTTTGGAGCAGAAGGACCAACATCCCTAGGGAGCACCCCCTAACAGAGGCACCTCCTGTTCACCCCGATGTGCTTGCAGATACCACCGGGCAGCGACAGACACAACCCCCCCTCGCCGGGAGCTGAGGGGGGTGCGCCGGGATGCTGAGGAGGCACTACCGGGCCCCATCCCACCGGGACCCCCAGCTCACATGGCGCTTTTGTTTGTTGGCGGTTTAAAGCGAGTGTTATAAAGATGTTCTATTGCTCCTAATCACAATTGATTGTCAATTAGAGCCTCATTTGTGCAATCTCCATCCATCTGCCATCTCTGGTTATCTGTTCACCAGAAAGTTAACGCTGATTATGGGGCCCTAGATGAGTTGTGACATGTAATATCTCGCCCGTAGTCGGGCCGGGTGACCGGTCCCGTCTCCCTCTCTTTCCATTTTCCTCGCAGGATGGACGAGCAACAGCTTCTCCTGACTCACTCGCCCGGGAGACGGTGCCCTTCGGGACCAGCCGGAAGGGTGCTGGGGGTGAGGGGCTGGCAGGGGACCCTCAGACAGGCGGCATCGGCGCCGTGCAGAGCCAAGTCCCGGTGTTTTGGGCCCGGATCCCTTGCCCTGCCGAGGAAAGCTCCCACGGAAGCGTTTCCTTCTCCGAAATAAATAGGGAATCACACGGAACATCCTCGCGTTTTTACGAGCCTCCCCGCCGCAGCGATGGTTATCTCTGTAGTTAGGCTGAATTATACCTGCGGGGAAGTGATATTTCCAGAGCTTGAAGGCACCGGTGGCCAGAGCATCTCCCGGGAGCCGCCGGCCCCTCGGCCACTCCGAGCCCCGTGTGCCCCCGGGGTGTCGCGTTTGAGGAGGAGACCCGATGCCTCCGTTCTGCCAGTGCAGGGCAGGTGGGACCGCGCAGAGGGCTCTGCTCCGGCTCCCCTCGCTGCCCGGTCACCCTTCATCCCAGGAGGGAGGCAGGCCGGGCATCCTGCGGGTCCTGGGGTGCCTTCGCGGCTCCCCAACCCCGGCAGACCCCAAAGCCGTGGCCCGCTTTGGGAGTCCGGGGGTGCTGGGCTCAAAGGAAGAGGTCCTGCTCTCTCCCACGGCTACGAGTGGGTTTTAACTTAATTAGTTAATACCGAAATTCAAATTATATTTCAGCGACCTCCAGATCAACGAACTGTGGTTTTTTTTTTACTGTTCTCCAGCCATCCCCCTCCTCGTCCCTGGGGGTCTGGAGCTTCGCGTAATTAAGGGCATTTATCGCCGCGGTAAAACAATTTAGCAGCCCCTCATTGCACCGAGAAGGTCACTCAGGTGGCTGCACCACCAGGCGCGGAGAGTCTGCGTCCCTCCGCGCTCGGCGCTGCCCGCAGCCCCGGTACAGCGGGGTCCCGCTGGCAAGGGGCTTTCCGGGGCCGTGTCTGCGCGGCTGGGGGGGCCAGGAACTCCCTTGGGCTTCTCATCTTCCCCATTTTGTTTCCAAACGCAATAGGGGTCCAAAACTCATCTCCTTTTGCTCTAGACGGGTTACTCTATTATTATTATTATTATTATTATTATTATTATTATTATTATTATTATTATTATTATTATTATTATCATTATTATTATTATTATTATTATTATTATTATTATTATTATGGCTCCTGAGGCCGCAAGCAGCCATGGGAACAGCCCCCGAGCCTCGCACATGGCTCTTGGTCTTATCCTGATTTTGTGCCCCGCGAGTGTCACCCCGCACAGGGCAGAATTGAGTGGTCACCTCGGGATGCCCGGCTCTCCTCGGGAAAGTGCAGATCCTCCTCCATGCACCCCCAAGCCAAAATCAGGGAATTAATTAACTCTACCCACGAAGGAAAATGATTTAGGAAGAAAAAAAGATTCTGAAGCAGATCTCGCCCTCTATCAATGCGGTGTCAGGTCCTCATAGTAGAAGATTTAAAAGCCCTAGGGATTCCAGGTTAGGGTAGTAATGAGCTTAATTGAGGTTAATGCTTCCTGCACAGCTCCTTGATTATTAAATTAATATTATCACACACATGAATCATAATTAGAAGTTTAAATAATGCTCTAGGGGAATCCTCGGAGGATCTATTAAACAGTTCCCTTCCCTCTCACCGGCTCCCTCCCAGCTCCGCGGCAGCCCGAGGGCAGCCCCGGGGGTGGCTGAGGATGGGCGCTGCTGGGGGGGACGGAGGAAGAGGTGTCACCACGGGGACAAGAGAGAGGGGCACCACACCCCGGTCCCTCGTCGCCCTTCAAGCCTCATCTCGGTGAATCCCCGTTTAACCAGCCTCTCCCCCCCCCGCCCCCTCCCGCCTCCTAATTTGGGCGCTTATCTCCCAGCACCCGGGAGTTTATATAAAATACTAATAAAGTGCCTTGTTGTCACTTATCGCGGCTGGGATCGGCTCTGCAGAGGCTTTTTCACACACACCTCGCGAAAGCCGATCCGTTTTGCTGGCAGGAGGGTGGAGGCGCCCCCGGGAGCATCCCCGGGCCACCCGCCGGGATGCGGGGCAGGGAGGGGGCAGAACGGGGAGATGCCCCCCCCTCTTTCCCGGGTACCAACCCCAGTTCCTATTCCCGCTGCCTCAGCCCTCGGCACGGGCGGGACACGCGTGGGAAGCAGCCGAGGAAAGGGGTATCCTTCCTGGCTGGGGGAGCACTCCCGATCCTGTCCCCCATCCCCGGAGCCGGGGGTGCCGCACCGACAGCAGCATCGGGGACCCACCCGTCCCCAGTGGGCTCGATTGTTATTTATTATTATTACTACTACTATTTCTAAGGAAAGGTTCAAAG